TATCTGGCCTTTGATAGAACAACTTTGCCTATTGCTGGTCTGGAGCCCTGGTGCAGTGGTTAAGAGCTCGACTGCTAACCAAAAGGTCAGCAGTTAGAATCTGCCAGCTTCTCCTTGGAAACCCTATGGGGCAGTTCTACTCTGTCCTGTAGGGTCGCTGTGAGTCAGAATCAACTCGACGGTGACGGGTTTGGTTTTGGTGTATCTCTGGTCTCGATTCCTAAAGGTGGAATAAAACTTTACCAGAGGGCCTGGCCTTTTTTAGGACTTGATACTCATCTTGGTTGCCCCCGCAAAGGGTGGTATTGGTCCAGCGGGAGAACCTGGCGTAGTAAGGTTGACAGGGGAACTTTGGGGTAATCCCTGACAGACCCCTGCTCAGAGGATGCTGGCCTGGGGTTAGGAGACGTATTTGGAGAGGGACCCAGCTCTGTTTGTCATTGGCTGTGTGACTGTGAGCAAGTCACTTGATTTCTCTGAGCCTCAGTTTCCCCCCTTTTTGTTTTCTTGTGGGAGAATTTTGCCATTCTTAAGCAGGCCTCTGCTCTAGGAGGGGGCGCTCAACATCTGCTCCTTCACCAGTGAGTGTGCCCAGCCCCAAGATAGCGGGTGGTGCTGGAGCAAGGTGGGAGGAGCTTGGCCTGCTCCGGGCTCCCAGCCCCTGGGGAGGCATCCCTGTGAGAACTGTGGAGCCTGGAGGGAGTCGCCAGCAGCTCACGAGGGGTTAACTGTAGGACATGGAGTAGGGTTAGACGCTTAGGAGAACTTCCAGCCTGGCAGAACTGTGTTATGAAGGGAGGAATAGACTGTCTTCTGGGGATTTCTGGGGCTTAACTCCTGGCCTTCCGGAGATGGGGACCGGGTGGCCTGGGGTCCCCCATCTTTAAAGCCCTGCCCTCCCGTTTCCTCTCCTCCCAGGGAAGCAGCAGCCAGCACAGTCTCCGGCAGAGGACGCTGCGGAGCCTGGAGCGATACTTCTACCTGATCTTATTTAACTACTATCTCCACGAGCAGGTCAGGCCCAGGGATGAGAGAACCTGTGCCCGCTTCTCCTCGGGCCCTTTGGTCTCCACCATGGAGCTGGGAGGAGCGTGGTCATATGTGTGTGCTGGTCCCAGAGGAAGACAGTATGGGTGATTTGGGGACAGGCACCCAGAGGCACAGATGGAGGTGTCCCTGAGCAGCCCAATAAAGGGGGGCCTCCCTCTCTCCCCTGGATCCCGGTCTCTGTACCCTTGGCTGGGGTATCAGGGCCTGGAAGGTTCCGGCTTCAGCTGCCCTGATCCTCTCCTGCCCACCTCTTTTCCTCCCTGGGGTCCCAGTGCACTGTTGTAAGGCTCCCCCACCATGGGCCGGCAGGGAGAGTTCAGGATGGCCCTGTGCCCCTGAACTCCACATCTCTCTCGCCTCGGGCTGCAGTACCCGCTGGCCTTTGCCCTCAGTTTCAGCCGCTGGCTGTGTGCCCACCCGGAGCTGTACCGCCTGCCCCTGACGCTGAGCTCAGTGGGGCCCGTGGCCCCCGGGGAACTCATCGCCAAGGGCTCCCTGGTGAGTGTGGCTGGTTGCCCTGGGGGAGGTGGAGTGGGTGTGGCTTGGCCCTGGGGCCACAGGACCCTTGATGCCAGTGGGATTGGGTTAAGCATTGCTCTCACTGGAGGCAAAAGGGGCGATGGCCTGTGAGGTAATGGGCTCCTCTTGGGAGGGAAATGGGATTGTTCTCAGGTCCCAAGAAGCTCTTACAGCTTTGGCTGCCCCTCCAGTACTTCTCCTCAGTCTCAAACCCGAAAGTTTTGGGTAAGGAGTCAGGGACCTGGGTTCTAATCTTCTGAATTAGAACCAGCTTCTCGTCTCTGAGCCTCAGCTTCCTTATCTGGAGAGTGGGCAACTGTCATCTTGCTCTCATGAGGGCGGTGGTGAGGCGCCAAGTGCACGAAAGTGCTTGGTGCACTGTCGAGTGCTGGCTCTGTCCCGAGCTGCGTGGCCTCACGCCGGGCTCTGGCCCTCTCTGAGGCTGCCGCCGGCTGCTCTGGGTCCCAGGCTTGGTGCTCTCCCACAGGGGATGGACGATCTTGTCTCCCCGGATGCACTCAGCACCATCAGAGAGATGGACGTGGCCAACTTCCGGCGGGTGCCCCGCGTGCCCATCTATGGCACGGCCCAGCCCAGCGCCAAGGTGACCGCTCCAGGGGCCTGGGTCCACTTGCAGGATAGGGGGAGGGTTGGGGCGAGACCCTCTATTTCAGTGACTACCCTCCTGTCCCCTCAGGCCCTGGGGAGCATCCTGGCCTACCTGACTGATGCCAAGAGGAAGCTGCGGCAGGTGGTGTGGGTCAGCCTGAGGGAGGAGGCCGTGCTGGAGTGTGATGGGCAGACCCACAGCCTGCGGTGGCCGGGGCCCCCCATGGCCCCTGACCAGCTGGAGGTGAGGCCTCCTGCCTGCTAAACACTCCCTGCCTTGGAGGCCTTCTGGGGAATTGGCCTGGGTCTTTAAAAGGTCCCATGCTCCTGTTGTGTAGATGGGAAACTGAGGCCTGAGAGGGGCAGTCTCAGGGAGGGCTGATTTGGGGAACCCTCACTCCAGTGCTCTTGCTTCCTCCTTGGCTCCGGGTGTGGTTATGGGAGCTCAGGGAGGGGCAGAGCTGGCCCAGAGCCAGCTCAGTGGCCTGAGCTCTCTGTCCTGCTCTCCCCCAGAACTTGGAGACCCAGCTGAAGGCCCACCTGAG